GGCATGTGACTAACCTCCACCCTCACGTATTACATTGCCAGGGAACGAATGGGAAGGAACTTAGTCCTCACTTGGTGGAAAGCGAGGGCAAGGGAAGGGCAGCCGGTCCCTTGTGCCACCAAGAAGGGAAGGATTCGAAACTATTGAGAACATTTGCGGAAGCAAAAGGGACAGCTGATTTTGGACAAGGTCAGTTTGACTCATGCATCTTCCCCAACTGCATGACTAAGGTGAAGGCATGGTTTGCTCGAGTAAAGGGGAAGATAACCAAAGGATCATTGAAGGCAAGGAAAACTTAGGCATGTGGGAGGGGCGATGCGTTGACCCCAATGGGGATTGTACTTGGCTTTCGCTTTGTGTGGTCTTGCGCAAGTGAGTAGCTTGGGATGGGTGTTGAGCGGGACTGGATCCCCCGGAAACTGGATAAGAGAAGGACGTAGACCTCGCATAGAGCCATGAATGCCGGATGGGTTTTGACGGTCGGATGCTTGGATGGATGGTAGATGCCTGGATGTGGCTTGTGTGATGATTGAATGCGATGGCTCTCTTGAATGCAACGCAAGCCTGGAAGGACTAAGGGCAGCCTTGGATAGGTGAATGCAGTGCTAGCGGCTCGAGCAAAAAAAATATAGCGGCTAGGGGTCCGGGCGATGCCACCCCACCCCAAGGATGCTGTAGGGGCTGTCTTGAGCCACTAGACTTAGTGAAGAGGTGCGTGGCCCAATGGATAACGCTTGGCCTACGCATGATAAGAAGACGAACCTTTAATAAACTCCCTGGACTGCTTGTGTATTGGAAGGAGCAATTGCCTGGCCAGATGTAATTGAATCAAGAAAACGCCACGAGTGACCAAAGAGTTACCATCTTGACGCGAGAGCGGAGCTACATCCCCCAATGTAAAGCCCTCTCGCAAGTGGCCCATCCCCATCCATCTCAAAGCACTAGGTGGGGGTGCCCCTGGGACAAACGACCCGCGCCCTGAGCATGAGCGTGAGCGGGTCGAGCCATATGGGACCCGCAGTGGGGTCGACCGAGGCTCGAAAGTTCTTCAGGGTACGACCCCTACAAAAATGGTGGAGGTGCCGGGTATTGGGTTAAACTGACCCATACGGTCTCGAGGGGGACGCCCGACGCACGACCGAGAACACAAACATAAAGATAAGGAATACGGACTTGTGTATGCTCTATCCTTTGAGAGAATCAGATTTGAGGGTGGCTGGGCGCATGGCAAGGCCAGGCCTGGAGGAAGAACATGCATGCTTGCACTTTCTGATCAGCCATCTCCTTTGGAGATGACTCTAGTCCTCCTTCCCTTGGACTGATGTTCATCAGGCCGGGGAAGCCTTGGGCAAGCCGCAGGTCGACCCTTCCTTTTTTTACGAAAGAAGGGCTCCGGTTACCTGGCAGGCGGTTGGGAGTCCGGGCCAGTCCGAGTCCCAATGAAAATCCCACGGCGGAGTGATCCGATCGACGTGGGTGCTTCTCTCCTCCTCTTCGGAGCCAGTGGGCTCCGTGCACCGCACTTAAATGCTTGAAGGAACCTCATATGAACATAAACGCTAATCGAGAAGCAATGATCCTGCCCTTTGAACGGACACACAAGCAAAGATAAGGGAATGAAGGGAGTTGCTAGACTCCAAGAAAAACTAGCTCCCCTTTGAAGATGCTCACGAAAAGGAACCGGGCACTATGTATGGAAGTTAGGGGTGAGTGGCACGCACTGTCCTGAGTGAAAACCTGTGAGCAATGGGTAGGAAGTGTTGGGTGCACCTGGGGAAAGGCACTTGTGTTATGTGTGTCCCACCTTGGGGCTTGTGTTTGCATGATGGGGATTCGAGCGTCCTGTCTTTCGTAAGGAAAGGGTTGGTTTGCGCCGGTCAGTGCAGGATGCGGAGTGGTTGTCCTTTTTCAAGTTCACCGGGTTCTGTGTGTGGGGATCGGGCCACCGGGCTGTCAGGCAAGGGTGAGTCTCGTCGGCTGATTAGTAGCATCCCCACCCGAGCGGTCCGAGCATGGCTCGATGATCTTGCCCAGGTGGGGTGTGAAACGTCTTCAGGCGGGGCGGCTGCTTGTCGGCAGACGGCAGGGGGACCACCGCATATGGGGCAAGGAAAGAGCCTCGGAGGCGATTAAAAGCTTCTCGTACCATGGCTTGGAAAAAGCTGATTCTTGTCGGACCGATGGAAGTGAATGCCTAGACGGCTGGCTCCAATGGCCCTATCGAGATGTGCGGGGTGATTCCCGAGACTAACGGTGGGTACACGAGCGGCAAGTCGGGATGGGGTATTATGGGTAAGGAGGAAAGGGCGAATGCCTTGCCGAGACCCGGGTACCGCGCTCGCGACGGTTGAGTTGTGCTTGAGGTATGGGGTGAAGCCCTGCCAATAGTAACAGTGGAGAGACCATTTCCGAGGAAGAGGTCGGTGAGGAGATGACCGACCTGTGTGCGACGTTTACCTGAGTTTTGATTTTTGTGCCTCCCTCTGTAAAGTTGCATGATGAATGATTGGAAGGGGAACTAAGCTTTTAGTCTATTCTCGACCCCTGCCTAAGTCTGCACGAGTGAGAGAACATGAGAAAGAGGCTGGACAGGAGTCGGAAGAAAGTGGAACTAAGGAAAGAAGGAATGCGAGCCACGGGTGACCGATTGGGGGTATGGTAGGGCAATGGTACCTGGAAAATGGATAAGGGAGGTTAGGGAGACCCGGATGAGGGGTCTGAAAACAACCCTCATCTAGAAGAAGGAAAAAGCAAACCATCTAACCATGAAGGGCCGTGTGGTGCTCTCATGTGAAAAACAGGACAAGCGTTGGGAAACAAGATGGCGCGATGGTTGTCACCTCCTGTCTACTTTAGTGGTCCGGAAATGCCTATAGAAGTAAGGGATGGGGTATCTGTTGTTCTCCCGGAAGAAGGAACATGGACCGACCTAGAACCAGCCTATGAAACCGTGATGCTGGACAAGAAGGACGCGTTCCTCTGGATAGAGACAATCTGGACTAAGGTCAGCCTAACAAGACTCTCACCTAGCCTGATGGACCTAGAGTTCCGGGAAACAGTGGAAGCTCGAGGATGGATCTACCTATCTCAAGCAATGACAACGCAATGGTAGTGGGACTAGTATTGGGCACGGCACCGGATCAGCTGTTTAGGCAAGCAGAACGGGAGGTGGTGTGGGCTGCATGTCAGCGGGCAGAAATGGAGATGGAGAGGATGGAGGTGCGAGTGGAACTCGGGGACCGAAAAAATATGAGACGCCCCCTTAGGACAATGAGATGCGTGCTACCCCCGTTTCTGGTGGATGCAGTCTTTGGGACCAGGGGTAGATTGGAGCGGATATGTCGGTCAATGACGCACCTGAGGTTGTACCAAGGCGCTAGGCAGGACTTCTTTAAATTGTCGGTGGAAGCAGGGCCGTTCGAAGGAAACTGGGCGGAAGAATTGGCTGAGGCGTTAAACCTCCTCAGCGTGGACGAAATTTTTGTTCCCAGCCCGGTGCATTGGCAGATAGTTTACCGAAACGTGGCAGCAGGGGAAACCTTCTTGGAAGGGGTGAAAGAGATGTTCCTAGACGAGGAGGATTTCAGTGATGAGGAGGACAGGGACGAGATAGAGGACTGGGACATCTGAGGGGGGCTTACCTGGGGAAAACGGGTCGTCTGCTATGCGTAGGTAGGGAACGATGGCTCGGGAACTCGAATTATGGGACTGCACATGGACACCAAGACGAACCAGAAGGGGAGTAGAGATGTCAATACCGCCGAGCAATGAATGGAAAGGGACCACATGTGATTGGCGGGGATATGAGATTGTGCCGGAACTATCGTACCTTTGGGTAGAGCGTATCTGGAATCCGTTGAGGGAAGAGGAAGGATGGGAAGAGATTGCGGAAGGAAGGGTGGAATCAATTGGGACTATCGTTCTCTCGGAACGGGGTTGGCACCTGTTCTGCACAGCGCTCGCGGCAGGACAGAACCCGATGTGGCTTTTAGGGGACGCGGAGGCAAGGACTCGGCAGGCGGGGGAAAGCTTTGCTAACAAAGGATGGGATACGGTCAGCTGTAGAGTCGTGATGGGAGGATGGAAGGAATTTAAACCGCCCGGTGCCCGAATCAAGACCTGGGTACCCGAGTTCGTGGCGGACTGGTTTGGGGGTTTTGATCATGTAACAGAGGTAGCCGACACGATGGAGCGAATACACGTGAATTCCACATGGCTGGCAGGGGAATTTTATAAGACGTCCTTGACTAGGGAGGTCATAATCTGCCGTGAGGTAGCAGCAACACCTTATTATGTGGATGATGTGTTCAAACTGTTCGAGGTACTGTGGTTCGATTAAGCGTCGGGAAGCCGTGGGGCCAGGCGAATATGGGGAAAATTGCTAAGATAAGGGAATGGGATGTCTGGCCATTGTAAGGCTCAGTATGGATCACGGGCCAGGAGAACAGAGGCGAGTGTGCGATGGTGCGAAGAAGAACGTTCCTTGAGGAACGCCCCTTGGGCATTGAGCCGCCTAGGGAAGTACCGGGTGGAGTAGAGGTTAGCTTGCCGGCGGCGAGTGAAGGACGACACCAGGTGGCGGATTGGGTCGGGATCGAGCTCGCGAAAAATATGGTTTATTTGGTGACGAAAGTTGAGTGGCGTGCGGCTGAGAATGGGGAATGGAACCCGGACCCACAGGGGCACGTGAGGGCAGAGGGGCGGTTGTATGTGTCAAAAAACGGGTGGAGGGAGTTCGAAGTTCGGCTGGCATCTGGAAAAGACCCGTTGAGCATGTTTGAGGGGGCATGACAGTTAGTTTGGTGAATGGGATTTGAGTTCGCAGATCCAGGGGTTGACGATGTAACGACAGACCTTAGGGTAGCCATGGTCGGGAGCTTCGAATTGCCTAGTGAAAATGTACGAATGAGGTTGCCGCCCTTCCTGTTGGAAAAACTGGGCGGTCTGGAACTTGTTGGACAAGCAGTAGCCGACCTCGCAAGCCTAACATATGAAGAAGCGGCGGTACATCGAGAATACTACCGGACCTTCTTAGAAATGGGACCGTTTAGCGGAGAGCAAAAGTACGAGGTGTTGTGCATCCTGCGTGCTGTGTTTAGTACCAGGCCAAGGGTTCCGGTCGTGGGAAGTGAGGTCCTGTGGAGTGTCGTCCGACGGGAAATAAACCATGGGATGGCGTACATAGATGATCTGTACCGATTGTATAAGCAGATGGAGGAGGGAACAGGTCGGTAATAGGGCCGAAGAGAGGGGAAAGAAATAGAAGGGGAAAAGAAGCACCAGGCTAGGGATCGGGGAGCTGTTCGGGAGGAAAATTGAAGACCAAGTGGAATAAGTAAGCTCGCGTGCTGTTTAAAACTATGCAGGGGGCTTCTAAATCGGAAATGGCGATGAGACGCGCCCGGATGCCGCAACGACCCATGCACCCGCGGCCACCCACGAAAAACGGAGATGTGATGGTGGAATGTTTGTGGGATGGTATGAGAATTAACACGGGACCGGGGGACGATCTGTACACCGATCTTAGGGTGACGGGGACCGTATACCTGCCAGAGCTCGGGTGGCACATGTTAGGGATGGAGTTGGCACTAGGGCATGGGTTGTTGCCAATCTTCCAGAGGGCTACTAGAGTACTAAATCGGGTAGGCCAGGAGGTGGGAGGAAGAAGGAATGTGGGGTTAAGGACTCGGGTGGAGATAGGAGGTTGGCGAGAGTTTAAGGCCCCAATGACCGGGCTGAGGTGTCGAGTGCCTCGCTTCATGGTAGACTTGGTATTCGGCAGTCTCAGGAGGGCAAGGGATTTGGTGGACTCGACCCTGGTCTGGATCCACCTCTTCCGGCCGCAAACAACAGGCATGTTCTACGACGTGTCGGTCAGACATGGGCCGTTCTGGGGAAACCAGGCTTGGGAACTAATTGAATTACTCGAGATCTTGATATTCGGATTGCCCCACCTGTCGTTTGAAGAATATGAGCCAATAATTATCAGGGAGATAGAAATGGGGGAAAATTACCTTGTTGGGTTGGCTGACCTGTTCGAGGAACCGGATGAGCAGGGTAGGCCTGAGGGACCAGCGTGAGAAAACGTGTCAGGAAGAGGTAGGGAAACAAAGGATGGGTACCAAGATAAGTAGGCGGCCGTCAGCAAAAGAGGGGCAGTGGTTGGAGTCCCGGCCGAACCAATGACGCGGCAGGAAGGAACTAGGAAGACCACCCGCTCCAAAAGTTCTGAGGCACCTGGATGCCAATAAGCCAAAAGGGTCACACCCGATAGGGAAGCCACTGGGCTCAGGCACCGCCGTAAGAACCTAAGCTCGACCGTAAAGAAATGTCCAGCGGCGGCGGCAAGGTTGGCAGGATAAAAACCTGAAGGACGCCCTGGGAAAGGAAAGTCAGGAGAGTCGGACCAATTAATAAAAGACGCAAAAAAAATATGGGAATAGGCGGGTTTTAGGGAGGGGACTAGGGCAGTTATGAACAGTCGGCCGCCGTTTCGCAAAAAAAAATTTCCATGTGCAGGCTAGGTAGAGAAATGGCGACGGAGGAAGGGATCGATGACCAGCAGAGCGGAGGGAATCAGGGCACGAATGGGAATGGGGAACGAAACAAAGGATCAGCCAGGGATCGAGAGTAAGCCAAACTGGAGGGGACCCGAGAAGACGGAAAGGACGCCTCAATTGGGGAAAGCTCGGGGAAAGATGGGGGTAGCAAAAAGCGACCTCAGGAAAACAGGGAAGGGGGAAGCGAGATGAGAACTAGTCCTCGGAATTCAGCAGGACCCACCCCGAAAAAGACGAAAGTCTTGGATACTAGTCATAAACTGGCAGAGATAAAGAAGCGGACCGCGAGGCAAGACTTATCGAGCAGATGATGGCTGGGGATGAGGAGGACCTCCAGGACGCAGGGTCACGTGAGGGACGCAGGGCCGGTCAGGATGAGGCTAGGTATGTGGTGAAGGATGATAGTCACAAAGGGACGCCTAGCAAAAAGGGGAAGGACAAGAGCGACCCCCCGACGGAAGGAACGGAAAACGCTATGACCCCACCCGCCATTGACAGCGGCACTAGCAGACTACCCGCCTCGCCAAAAGTAACAGGGGCGTGTGACGGACTCTTGAGCCTTAGGGAGAGAGTGCTAGGATGGTTTGACCCAGAAGGAACACCGGAAACCAGGGAGAAGCAGAAGGAAAGCAAGGAAGGGGAAGGAGCCGATGCAGCCCGGGAAGCGGGTGGCTCCGAAGACGGTCTCAAGAAAGTAGTCGCCACCCTCAGCAGGACACTGAACAAGAACCAGGGGTATCTCGCAGATGCAAAAAAGAAACTCACGTTCGACGGGGCCAACATTACGGAGTTTCTAATAGACTATGAGAACCTAGCAGCCTTACTGAAATGGACGGAAGAGGAAAAGATGGAGCACCTAGGACAACACATATCGCTAAGTTTGGGAAGGGACATTATGACCATCATCGCCTCCAGTGGATCCTGGAAAGAGACCAGGAATGAGATGATGAGAAAATACCTGAAGGCAAAAAAAATGGCAATCGAGGCAGAATTAGCCGCAGTCCAGAGGAAAAACTATGCGACCTACAACAATTTCCTGAGGGCGTTCACGTTAGTGGCTCTGCGAATTCCCGGGGTAACGGACCGCATAATGAGTAAGTACTTCCTCAGGCAGTTCTCCGAGTTTAATAAGGATAAGATTTTGTCAGCATACCAGCATAGATGTGGATTTCAGTACCGTAACAGACCTTGCGGAAAAGACAGTGGTTACCGAGACGCTAGCCCTACTTAAGGAGGGGGAGGTCATAGATATGACCGGGAAGACAGGGGATAAGGTCAAGAAGGGGATAGAAAGCCCGCACGAACGAGTGCACGGGGTTGATAGCAAGATGGACAGAATGGAAAATGTGTTGTTAGTAATACAGGCGCAAGTGTCCAGACCTGCCCTCCCGCCCCAAGAGGCCGTGGTTCCGGCAGCTGTAGCAAACCGGGGGTTTGGCAGGAGGGACCCTGCCAGCGAACAATGCAAGTATTGCACCATGATCGTCCGAGACTCAATCACGATATCGAGCGGCAAAGGTGCAGTAGGTCCCTCAAAGGCGAGGTCCTTGGACCCAGGGGGGAGCGTGTTAATTGGAACTCGCCAGGAGGGATGCGGCGAGCCGTCATCCTCCTGAATAACTTAGAGATAGCTGCCGTAGAAGCAGAACCGATAGTCGAGATTGTCTGGGACCAGCCAAGGGGACGGGGTCCACAGGCCAATTTTATCCTAGAAGGCAATGGCCAGGATAGGGTAAATATTACCACTCGCCGGGCCGGGGCAGAAAAGAAGCTCATCCAAGATACAGTAATGGAATAACTCGCAGGGACTAACACGGGCCAGCAAGAGACTGAAGCCGGGGATTAAGAGAAGGTCTATGGGAAGCCAAGGGAGGACGAACCGGTAGACAAGGCTACGGCCGCAAAAAAGAAGTTCAGGTATCAAATTCCGATCCTGACTTCGCCAGAAATCGATGGTACCTTGAGTAAGCTACTGGGTACAATGGTATCGGTGTCTTTTCAGACCATGCTGCAAGCCAGCCCAAGGYTGCTTAAAGGACTCAGGCAGTTGCTAACGCGTAAGCGCGTAGAGGTAGAGGAGGCCCCGGAACTGCAAGAGCAGGACACGGAGGAGGCCGAKGCGYCGCAAGGAGTCTCCAACCTCCAAAGCATTCCAGGGGGCCTGGGAGAGTTGGAGAAAGCCTTTGCGGACATCCGCCTAAGCCTACCGGATCGTGAAGGTGGCAAAGTCATGAGGGCTCCACCCGGGACAAAGCTTAGCTTTCATGCACTACCAGTTGGGAAACTTAAAAGTTCAAATCGAAACTCACCACACTGACGCGTTAAGTGGACGGCGAAGCAGAAATCACCCTTATACGACGGGATTTCACAACGGTCACGGGATGCACGGTAAACAAGGAAGTAGCAGGGATTATCCGGGGAGCAGGTGGCGAAATCCCTTTCACAGGGTATGTCACCAAATGTGCAGTCAGGGCGGGAATCCGAAAATCCATCTGGTCCTTTCAACGGATAACCATGATGGAAGAAATGGATCACGACGTAATCCTCGGGAGACCATGGTGCGCCCATGTGGAAATGATAGGAATGCATCTGCACGACGGCACATACATGGTAGACATAGAGGACCCGGTGACTGGTCACGGAGAACTCCTCCGACTCCTCGGAACTGGAGGAGACCCTCCGAAGGGCAAATTGGCAACCTCGTCGCCAACATTCGAAGAAAGTGCACGGAAGGGGGCATTCGCACGAACGAAAGGAATGAGGGAAAGGGTAGAAATTATGATTGAGGAGGCTTTTAGTAAAAAGGAGTGGATCAAGATGGGCTTGCTCGTAAAGAAGAGGAGGCCAGAGGACGAGTCCCTGGAAGTTATGGTGGCAGAAAAAGAGTCGGAAGTTGAACTTGGGGCCAGCCTGCCCAAACCAAAGGAAGGCCGGAACGAAACGTCGGAGGTAGTGCTTGAAATCCCAGATTTATTACAACTCGTTAGGGCCATCAGGTACCACAAAGTGGGGGTGGACCTCGCCGCGCTTGCCAGATTTGAGGATGGGGTTCGAAAGGGCACTGTCTGAATGGGAAGCTAGTCAACATCCAACCCCGCGTCTTGGAGGTAGCAAGGCCAATCCCGACCGTTCATTTTTTAGGAGAACGATCCCCGAAGGTAGTGTGCAAAAGTATAAACCCGTAGGCAAGAAGGCCAAGCCGGTCTCGATCCTAGTAGAAACGCCAAAGGAAGAGGCCATGGAGAAGGAGGAGGAATTCTTGCGGGTAATAAGGGAGAGGCGAGCAACGGAAGGGCATCGCATACCAGATGAGGTAGCAGACACCATGAAAATAGGAGTGGAAGGGTTTCTAACAACGGAAGAAACTCAATTGATAAGAAAGGCATGCCAGGAGTTCCATTTAGCTTTCGCTTTCAACGATCATCAGAAAGGGCGATTGGACGCAAAGCTAGTTTCCCCTGTCATGATCCACACCGTACAACACGAGTGTTGGAATGATAAAGGGTCCGCCTATGAGTTTGGGATAGCAGCGGAGGTCACCGACCTGCTTAGAGCCAAAATAGATTCTTTTGTGACCGAACCCACCGCATCTCCCTACGCGAACAAGTGGTTCGTGTTTAGAAAGCCCAATAAGATGCTTAGGTGGATCCAGGACCTGCACAAGCTCAATGCGGTAACAATCAGGGACGCAGGCTCGCTTCCACAGGCCGACTTGTTGGCGGAATCTCATGCGCGGCGAAGTATTTACTCCCTGGTAGATTTGTACTCAGGATATGATCAGTTGCCGCTCAATGCGAGGGATAGACCGTACACCGCAATGCACACCCCGGTAGGACAGCTGCAGATGCAAGTGGCCCCTATGGGCTTCACAAATGCGATAGCAGAAGCTCAGAGGAGGATGCTCGCCGTCGCAGGAGATATGTTTCCGGAAAAGTGTGAACCATATATAGATGATAATCCCGTAAAGGGCGCAAGATACAAGGACGAGACGGAGGTTGAGCCGAGCGTATGAAAGTTTGTTTAGGACCACCTGCAGGATATTAAGGACCTACTCCAACGCTTCCTCGTTTACAATATTACTGCAAGCGGACCCAAGAGCATCCTGGCCGTCCCAGAAGTAACCATACTGGGATTTCGTTGCGGAGCTTATGGGAGGAGACCCCACCCAGTGAAGACTGATAAGATCTCTCAGTGGCCGACACCCCTGCGTACCACGACGGAAGTACGAGCCTTCCTAGGGGTGGTTGGGTTCTGGAGGATCTTCATCAAAGGTTTCGCAAAGATAGCAGAACCCATCCGCGCGATGATTAGGGAAGGTGGCACTATGGATTGGACAGAGTACAAGGAAGAGGCAGCCCAGACCCTGAAAGACATCCTGTCATCCGATCAGGTCACGTTAGCAGCACCCTGTTTCAATGACGAGGTAGGACGGCCCTTCATCCTAAAAACAGACGGGGGACCATTGGCAGTGGGAGAAGTATTGATACAGAGAAGCGAGGAGGGCAAAGAAAGACCAATCAGATTTGAAAGTAGGACCCTGAATTTAGCAGAACGACGGTATTCGCAGTTCAAGAAGGAGGTTTTAGCAATCCTGCATTGTCTTAAGACCTTCCAGGCATACTTGTTCGGGAGGCGATTTATCCTAAGGATCGATCCCACCAACGTTGTCGGAGCCCCAAAGAACTACAAGCCCATAGACCCGACCGTTGGCAGATGGATAAGCTTCATATGGCAATTTGACTATAAGGTCGAACGAAGTGCAGGGCTTCGAAATAGGGCAGATGGGCTGAGCAGGGTTTGCATCACGCCAGAAGGAGTAGAGGACGCAGAACCAATTGACGCCTTCCTGGAGTACGAAGGAGGGACCCTTGTCGTGGATAATGAGATGGCAGATCCGGCAATTACAACAGGACAGTTACTGATTCAGACCTTGGAAAAGGGCGCACCTGCAGTAGTTGCAAAACTCAGGGAAGGACCAGTCACCACGGTTAGGCGTAAAGAGGAAAAAGACTCGTGGGGAGCAGAAGTAGGGGCCAGAGAGGAACTGATGGCAATGACCGTGGAGGGGGGACGGGACGCCGTGATGACGTTGGCCGAAGCCTGGGCGCAGAAGGAGTGTCAGTATCTAGTCAACCTCACTCGGGAGGAGCAGGGTACAGATCGGAAGGAACATGAGTTCTTCCTCATACAGATGTACGAGGGCGTCTTGAAAGAAATTGGTCTGCTACTTGTAGGGAACAAACAACCCACGGAAGTCAGTCCTAAGGCAAGGGAGGAAGTCGAAAAGTATGTCCTAAGAAATGACCACCTGTTCAAGAAAGAGGAAGGGATGATACCTAGACGTGTCGTTTGTGGGAGGTCTAGGCAGCTGGACGTAATCCATGCAATGCATGACGGGCTAGCTGGAGGTCACCGGTCGTCCAAGGGAACACTTGCAAAGATCGTGCCCCTGTACTTTTGGCCATGGATGGCAGGCATGGTCGCAACGTATTGTCAAACGTGTCTGATATGTCAAGAAAGGAGCGCCGTACGAGTTTACGAGCCCCTTAGACCCACCTGGGTACTGGGACCGTACTGGGACCCGAACACCTTGTTCACCTCGACCTTGCCGTTATGCCCGTATCAACGGATGGGTTTAGATACATCTTGGATGCAAGGGATAATCTCAATGGCTATGTGGAAGCCATAGCCCTCAAGAAGAAGACGGGGAAAGCGATGGCCGACTGGGTGGAAGACTTCTACCTAAGACACCCCTTCGTGCGCAGGTTTATAGCAGACAATGGGACAAAATTCGTTAACCAGGAAGTGTTGAACAGGCTTAAGACACTGTGTGTAGCGATCAAGATCACCGAGCCCTACCATCCTGAGGCAAATGCACCAGTAGAAAGGGGTCACTGGACTTTGAAGAATACAATCGCAAAGTTGGCTGCAGATAATTTGGGAAGTTGGTCACGGTTTCTCAAGCAGGCAGTCTTCGCCGAGAACATGACTCCAAAAAGAACAACGGGATGTATTCCAGCAGAACTCTGGTATGGAAGGGAGATCGATTTTCCGATAGAAGCTTTGGTCCCTACCTGGAACAGGCTAGATAACAATCCACACTTAAGCACGGAAGAGTTCATCACCGCACGTTGTCAGCAGGTCGCCAGGAATGAGGAGGCACTTGAGGAAGTAGTCAATCGCGTGACGGACAACCGAATGAGGGATAAAGCAAGGTGGAATCAGGTCAAGAACATTCGGAAAGAGCCACTTCAGCTCGGGGAAAATGTGCTAATTAGGAACTCGGCTCTTAAAAGCACATGGTCCGGGCAGCTAGGAAAAAGATCTAAAGGGCCCTACAGGATCACTAAGCGGGTGGGACTGAACACATTTGAACTTTAGGATCTCGATGGTACTAGCATAAGAGGGTCATTTCCGGGACAGAGATTGGTCAGATTTTTGAGTAGGGACCCGGTGGAACAGTGGCTACAAGAGGCCCAGGACAGGGAAACTGGGGAACTGACAGCCTGAAAGGCAGGCAGCTGGCTATAAGTTATGGACCGCCTCCCTGTGGAAGTGATCATGACCACGGGGATTGTTCGTTTGTGTGTCTTGACTTTTGTGGAACGTGGGGAGACTGCCTGGGCTGACTGTGACTGGGCCTGGGAGCACGGGACAGTGTATTATAGTTTTTGTGGGGTAACGTTGGGGACTGTCTACACGAGGTACTTATGGGCTGGGACAATGCACCATAGTTTTTGGGGGACGGGGGGGTGATGTTGCGGACTGCCTACATGGGGCACCTATATGTTGGGACAACGTGTCGAGGGTTCTAAGGGATAATAGGGCTACCAACTATGTGGGGGCAAGCGAGAGTCTAGGGAAGCCTCCGGAGCTGCGAATGGGAATGGGACGGAGTGTGTGTGCATGAGGGGCATAAGACTGTTATCCATGAACACGGCCAGGCAAGAAAGAAGCCAGCAGCAGGAAAACAACAAGATGGAGTTTGGAAATGAGAACGACAGCAATGCAATTAGCAATTAACAGGCCGGAAGAGGGACAGTCCTCAAGACAAGCCGGAGAGTCGAGCTCCAGGAAAAGGAAGTTGTATGTGGGGTTCGATCACAACCTAGTTGTGAACAGGGGGGCAGGAAGCAAGGAACCAGGGGGCCATCGCCACTAAAGGAAGGGGAGCCAATAGAATTGTCATCAGACAATGACCTTAGCAGCAAGGAAGAGGGGAACCCGGAAAAAAGGCGAAGGCTAGAAGAGGGGAATCTAGAGGAGGGGCAACGACCGGGAGAGAATGAGTCAGTTGAGTTCATCGACCTCACCAGCGACGAGGAGGATGATGAAGTGACAACGCCTACTAGGGAAGAACGGGGGAGAGGGGAGCAACCGAGTGAGAAAAAGGATAAATGGATAAAAGAGTTCGGATATGAGTTCAACAATTGGTTTGATCAATGCGGCACCATCTTGCGATACCAATGGATTATGAAGGCAAGGGAAAAGTTGGGCAGGGGAGAGGATTTATCCCCAACAACGTTCTTCACAGAACAGACGCTCCTCCAATTCCAAGCAACAAAGAGGCAAATGGAGCAGGAAGGAGAGAATCGCGCAAGGAGGGAGGCTCAACGTAGGCCACCTGGACAATAGAGGCACAACAGTCTCTATCTTTGTGGAAGGGTTTGGTTCCGGGGCAGTCAGAGCTGCCATTTTGGATTTCGCATTGAAACTCTTTTGAATTTTCTAAGCCCGAAGTGATCAAGGACTGGGTTGTTAGCGCTACTTCGTACGAACGGTTGCACATTCAAGGGAAAGGCACGAGGGTTTTGCACTTAAAATAGAATTCGGGATGGCTGGGTAGATTAAGGGAAAGAAAAACGGGAAACAGCGGGGATCTAGACGAAGACGAGTCTGTAATGTTTGTCTTTGCATTCAAACTCTGTCTCTTTATTTTTCCGTCTAAAGACTGTAAGGAAACTACTTTTTGGGATTAAGAAAGTTAGTAGAGAGTGGGTGCTCAAGGTTACTTTGTATAAGTACTTGCTCCGTTTGAAAAGTATGAGTTTTTTTTTCGGTAGAAAGAAAGGGATTGGGGGTTGATTGACGTTGTCTCAAGGAGGTGGGCAGGGGCATGTGAACTTTTGAACGTTGGAAGGAACATTCAGGGCAAAAGTCTTTCTTTTGAAGTTGTGCATCCATAATTGAATGAACCGTGGCATGAGTCATTGTGAGAGGTTAGGGGACCTATGGGTAGAGAGGCACCCTCTCCCCTAGGAACCTAATCCAACCTACCCCAGGCAATCCCAGAGCATTGAGAAGCATATGAGAAGTCGAAAACGTGACAGGGAAACATCGAAATGATGCAACACCCCTTGCAATGGTTGAACGGTCGGGCGAGCTAGTGCTGCTTGGGGCCGCGAGCCTCAACTTGAGTACTAGACGCTAAGTCGGATGTATGGATGGATGTAGGAATGACAAAAGACATGAGGAAAAGGAAGAAGCATGCGTAAAAACCCAAGATGATTGCCACCTTCTAACCACTGAGACGAGAATAGGATCCGTGTCCTCGAGTCCCACCCCCTCGCGCGCTAACATTGCAATGGACAAGGATGGCCCTAACCAGGCTGTCCAATTCAAATGGATAAGGATGGTCCTAACCAGGATGTCCGATTGCAATGGATAAGAATGGCCCTAACCAGGCTGTTCGACTTGGAATTGGAAAGAACGACCCTAACCAGGTTGTTCGGAATGGCCCCTGACAAGGGTCATTCTTTGGAATTGGCACTGGGGTCCCCTTGCATGGCTGCTTGAGATGCATGAGATTGGAAGAGCTGAGCTTTGGAAAAGAGATTGGACTGAGCTTTGGAAAAGAGATTGGACTCAGCCTTGGAAAGGATAATGGACTCAGCCTTGGAAGAGATATTGCATTGAGCATTGGACTGAGATTGAGCATTAGACTGAGATTGAGCATGGAATGAGACTGAGCATTGGAATTGGATTGAGTATTGGAAATTGCATTACATAACCAGGGGACCCTAGGCAACTTGAAATGGACTTGGAAAGAGCTTTGAAATGAAATTTCTCCTTTCTTCTAGTCTTTGGCCTCAGCAAGAGGAGGATACCGGTGCATGCACCGCGAAACCCAAGACCTTTATCCCCTTAAGGGAAAAAGTCTCAGCGCGACCTGTTCCTCTTCAAGAGGGTGAGGGTTAAAGGACTAAGGCACCCACCACTTGGATCGGTGCGGGACATCCGGAACCACCTCCGACAATGAGCTCTAGTCGGGGAGTTCCAACTGCGCCTCCTGTTGAACGCCTAAACGTCAAAGGGCGAGAGAGCCAAATGGGCGAGGATGTCGTTCTCATATAGTTTATTTTGTCCTCTCCAACCACACGCCATGTCATAGAGGGGTGCCATGGCCGTTTGGGTCGGACCTCGACTGCCCGCACAAAGTTGGGCAGCACTGTCCAAGGGGAGGGGTTTGGCGAAGTACCGGGTGGAGTCCGCGGCCACCACGGGGCGTTGACACCGCCCCGCCAAAGCATTACAACCGCTTCGGAACTAATTGCGAGGTCTTCGTAACTGCACTCGCAAACTAATTGAGAGCCCCAACTCTCTTGAAAGGAAGAGGCCGGAATCCAGAAAATCACTACTCCGAAGGAACGATTTGCGAGGAACGCTTCCGGCTAGACGAGGCCCTGGAAGGCTTGGATTGGACCTGCCTGATCAGATGTGGGGAGGTACCTCAATATTGGTGCTCGCCACGTACGAGAAGAAAGGTCGAACCGAGTAGAAGAATGAGGCGTCGTCCGCTGGGGAGGAACTGACTCCTCCCTTTGTGAAGCGGATGGGCTTGTGTCCTTGACTTGCGGTTGGTGGGCCAAAGGTCTCGTGCCTCCGAGTGAGGACCAGTCGCGCGATGGGGACATCGCGTTTTGAGTGGGGGAAAGGTGTGCCATCTACCAATGAATACGCATGAAAATAAGACTTGTAATCCGTCTTGGGAAAAAGGGGTCTGTCAAGCTGGCTAGAACTGAAAAAGATTGTAATTGGCTTTGTATGGACCCGAGAAAAGGGGGCCTGGCAAGACACCAGAGCAGAAAGGACTTGAGCAAGTGACATGGTATGAATTTGAGAAAAAGGGTTTGGCAAGACAACCAGGAAGGAAAGGGCTGGTATGATTGATTCTGCATGGAAATCAAGCTAAGGGAAAAGGCAAGGAATGACAGAAGGGTGATATGCATGCGGAATTGGAAGGACCTGAGAAAGGCCGGGAGGCATGACCCAGGAAGGATGCATGTGGATTTGGCTATGTCTGAGCTTCGGGAGAGGAAAAATTGAATAAAAAATAAGTGGATGTCCTAAGAGTAATGAATGAGAGGAAGCCAAAATGATTTTTGCTCGAGAATGTTTTCTCAATAAAATGGGAAGATAGATTTGAGATTACGAATGCAGCCTTCAAGACATTGTCGAGAGCGAGAAATAACGTACAATGAAAAACTAGTTGTAGGACATGTCTGTGGTCAGACCCCTCCAAGGGGCGATGCTAGTTAACTTGATAAGGAAAAGAGACATCAAGTTATTTAAGCTCCTTGATGTATTGCTAGCTCGCACCTGGAGGAAGCCATGGCGAATGATCCTTGTGACATTCGGAGCCAAAAATCTTCCTCTTACCACGGTCCCTGGGGAGGGTGATGGGCTCGTCGTCCTCTCTTTTGTGGGACGACAATGGAGGTTGGTGGAAAACTCTTGGGTATTCGGGAATTCCAGTAAGAAAGAGATACAGTTGTGAGACGGACGTTGATGCACAGAGAGTGTCACGCGTTCATTACAAAGACATTCTTGAGCTTGGGGACCTTACGCAATTCAAAGGAAACCCGAAACAAAACCTTGACCCCTCCATGCCCTCCCCCGCCCCAAGGGCGGAAACTTAAAGAAGGACCCGAGAAAAGAGTGGGAAAGACAAAAAGAACCTTGGCAAGCTAACTACCCATCCCACCCCACCTCTCTTCCCTATCTGTCTATCACTCCAAAATTCCTACTGACCATGGATTGGTGCACGATGAGGACATCGCGAATGAGTAGGGGGAATATGTCGGGACTGGTGAGTCCCGAATGACTTCCTGTCACTCGAGAGACTGTATATGACCAATTTGTGCACGACAGAGAAAATCGGAGGCAGGTATGCTGGAAAGAGCGGAAGCATGGGCACGGACAGTAGGAAGCCAGAGGCTGCCCAGAGTCGTCGGGGCCGCCAGACTAGAAATGGGTCGGCTAAGCAGAAAGCGGCAAAAGGACTGTGAGAGAACAGCAGGGGCTACTCCTTCCCCAAGGACGGAGAAGGGCCGTCGGGAAGTCAGTGGTAGCATAAGAGGTGCGTAACAAGGGAAGGAAGGAAGTAGGAAGGGACAGGGTGCAAGGCGCTGACGCAACGCGGCAGCAGGATGGTCAGGGAGACCGCAGGGTAGGTGGGAGCCGACACCCGAAACGGAATAGCATGCGGGACCCAATAGGAGCAAGGAGCGGAGGTCGCTGTAAGGCAGAAAGACGTCAGGGGCACCAAGGAAAAACGTGGTACAGGCGAGGCAGGAGTGCTGGGGACCACATGGGATCGAAGGACGGGGCGGCACCAACAGCACAAAGCGCCGGAGACCGCGCAGGACCAAGGGACGGCGTGGTGCCGACAGGGCGAAGTACCGGGAACCGCGTGAGACCAAGGGAAAGACGCAGTGCAGGCAGGCCGAAGTGCCAAGGACCGCGTGGGCCTAGATAAAATAGCGGCCCCAGCGGAACCACTATCAGATTGGGAATCGACGGAGTTAAAAGTCTCAGGAGCCGCCGACATGGTTTGTCGACAGAACGGACAAGACGGGCGCGAGGCGGGAAAAACGGAGGGCACCTGGGGCAACCTGGGGGGATCCTGGATCAGACGAGACGACAACAAAAATAAAATAACCTGACGCCAGGTGAACTGGACCGTCCGGGCCGGGAAGTCCGGATGAAAGCACTAAGTACCGTCGCGGCAAGCGCCGGCGGGAGGTACCGAGGGGAAGAAAAGAGGGAATAGCAGCGGTAAGAGGGTCGGCCAGCAGTCCGGGTTATGCCGGCCCAGCCAGACCAAGAGAAACGAAGTTCCAAGGGCTCCACGTGGCGAAAAGGCTAGCCGGAGAAAATCGAAGCAAGAGGGCCTCAAACTGGAAGCGGCGGCAACAAAAAGGAGCCCCCTTTGGCCTTGGGGGTGCCACTACTACAGTTCGAGGTGCAACGGCCATATACCGGCTACAAAAACAGACCTTGGGTGAAGTCCAACAGCCAGAAAGAGGAAAAATATCTGTTGGACATTTGTCCCTACAACAATAAAAGAAGCAGTGAGAGAAAATGGAAGAAAAAGGGGAAAAATGAGACAAAGGACGAGGAAGGAGTGGAGGAAAATGTGCCGCCAGGTTGGGACTGCAGCAATAAGGATGGACAGGTCCCAATGATGACCTCATCCCTCCTAGATCCTAGGAATGCAGTCCGGATTGCAGAGATAAGGTCCTTGGGGCATTATCTCTACAATATCTATATTTAAGCAACAAAAATAAATAAATATGTTGATGTCAGTTGACCGACTCATTTTTGGGCCTTAGATCTGAGATCTGATCTTGCGGAGGAGGAGATCTAGCCGTTTTTTGAGGGCTGACACAAAACGGCTAGCTCAGGAATGAGTTGGCAGCAAAATGGAGGAAAAAC